TCAGGCAGGCATTTAACACGGAAGCTGCAGGGAGAGGATGCCCAGAGAAAACCCTGAAATTTGGGCAGAAGATTACCTGAGGGTGAGACTGCAGGTCCATCATGTCTGGACCTGCAGCCGTATAGCGTTGATCTTCCTCCTGATGAACGTCACTTGGTGCAGCTGGAGGAAGAGAGACTGATGCTGCACCTCTGGCTAAAAAATAGCAGAAGTCTATAAGAAAAATGCCTAAATATGAATGAAGTGAACACCATGTCTCTCTAATAATTAATTATCTTTCTGCTGTCTTTTTCAGAATATTCAGATACCATCATGGGTGAGTTGGATGTTTAGTTTTTATTAGAAATGTTCTCATTTGTTTTCATGGAAATATTTGATTTGTTATTGTCTGTCTTTGCTCTGAATACATGACCAGAGGATCAGCATCAAGGACCTGATTGATGGTGGAGACACTAAGGGAAAATGTGTCGGGGGAAAGGTTGTTCAGAAATCTGGTCTGCGTTCGTATAAAACCAATGAAAAGAAGAAGTTCCTCTTCTACCTGGGAGTCGCTGATGAGACCGACTGCATCAAAGCCACGGTGTATGGAAAGGAGAATTTCCAGAAGTTTCAAGAGGGATGCTCCTACAATTTCAGAAACGTCCTAGTCGACAAGTTCGAGGGGAAAAATACCATCAAGGTCACCTGCAACAGCAAAATCTCAAAGACTAAAGAGATTCAGGTTAACAAGACTCTGGAGGCCCAGATGCTGATTTACGGCCAGAGTCCAGTTTACTCCATTGACAAGATCCAGTCCCTTGAGGAAAAGACAGCAGTGAGTGTTGAAGGAACTGTGACCGAGGTGAGAGATGTTCACTTAAACACCTTCAGAACACCAGCTTTATGGCTTTCATTGTTTTTATTACACTTTACGCTAAAAATGTTTCTGGTGTTGCTTTATTCATTTATTGGTTTCATCAGATTATCCCAGTAAAAAAAGTAAAAGTGACGGGGAGACGGGCCAAAGTAAAGATAACCAGGTTCCACCTCAAAGATGAAACCGGTTCCATCTGGATCACGCTGTGGAGCAAAGATTCTGAGCAGCTGAAAGGAAAGTCTGTTGGAGACTTTGTCAGGGTGATCAATACGAAGACACACCGGTACTATGAGATGGTTTCCCTGAACTCCACTGACTTCACCAGAATCATCACGGTACCGTTTATCATCTCGTCTTTTTATACTTAATCAGAGCCAATGAGATCCAGACCTGAATCAAGGTATAAAACATTATCTGTTTATGTGACAGAAATATATAGAAATTACGTTGAAGAAAACTGACATAATTTTCAATATGGTCAATATAGTTTCTGGAGAGAAAATAATCAGAAAGTGTTGCATCCTTTTAAATTCAGCTCAGTCAGACACAGTGAAGACAGGTAGCTGTGAAGATAATAAAAGAAGGGAAAGATGATAGTTTTCAGAAGTTAAACTACAATAAATCTGTTAATTTTCCTGTTAGATGTTTGTTTGTTTTTTTGCTAAGAAAAATCTTTTGTTTTGGGGTATTTATTCCCACCACCTGCTTGACTAGAGGTTAAGTTTGGTAAACAACTTCACAAAAATCATTGGGCCTGATTTAAATAAATGTTGAGGTAGGAGGCTCAAAATATACCTAGGATGCTTTTTACAAAACAAACCCCTGGGATTTAAATAGAATAGAATTCAACTTGATTGTCATTATACTGTCACAAGTAACAAAATCGTTTGCAGTTTAAAAGGGGTTAAGGTCCCTCACAGACAAATTAAAATTCATACTCACTGTCTTCCGCTTATATGGGTAGTTGTCTCAGCAGAGACTTCCAGTCTTTCTTTCCACACGCGCGTCCTCCAGCTTCCGTGGAAAACACCTGAGGTGTTCCCAGCCTAGCTGGGAGACAAGGTCTCTCCAGCTTGTCCTGGGCCTCCTCCCAGTGAGATATCTGATACCTGAAGATATCTCATCCTCCTTAGCTCAATCCACCGAATGTGGAGGAGAACCGGCTCTACTCTGAGCCTCTCTCAGATGACCAAGCTCTTCACCCTACCTCTAAGGGAGGGCATTTAATGTGTGATATGTTTGATCGTCGTACTCAGCTACAGCTCACACTATACGACAAAACTGCAGGGTTTTAAAAAAGAATGCTGTCTTAAAGTCTGTTTTTTTTTTTGTTATCTTATGCAGGCCAGTTAGTTATACGTCAGCCTGAACACCTAACTTCGGCCAATCGTATATCAACAGTCATCTGTCAATCAAATTTTTTTGGTCATTGCATCTTGATTCATGTGTCGCAGCTAATATACGCAAATAAAAAATGTATGATGGAGGAGACTCATCCATGACCTCCGACACTAAACTCTCCTCCTCTTGCATGTTTCCTCTGTCCATAGCGTTCCTTTACAGTGTCGTTTCTAAGTCACCAATTTAGTGCTACTTGGTCCCAATGGAATTTTCCATTGGAAACCTANACCTGAATATAATGAATGACCAGGTTATTCCATCAATGGACTTTTTCTTCCCTGATGGCACAGGCATATTCCAAGATGACAATGCCAGGATTCATCAGGCTCAAATTGTGAAAGACTGGTTCAGGGAGCATGACACATCATTTTCACACATGGATTGACCACCACACAGTCCAGACCTCAACACCATTGAGAATCTTTGGGATGTGCTAAAGAGGGCTTTACGCAGCGGTCAGACTCTACCATCATCAGGGCAAGATCTTGGTGAAACATTAATGCAACACTGGATGGAAATAAATCTTTTGACATTGCAGAAGCTTATTGAAACAATGCCACAGCGAATGCGTGCCGTTATCAAAGCTAAAGGCGGTCCAACAAAGTATTAGAGTCAGTAACCTTTTTTTTTTGGTGGCAACTTTTTTTTTGGCCAGGCAGTGTATGAACATTAGAGACAGAATCACGTGAAGATCTTCCTAGAAAACAAAACCTAGATCTTCACAGTTGTCTTCTTCTTCTTTTACAGATGATCCAGAAAGTTTGCAGTCAGAAAAGGTAGCTGTGAGCAATAACCATTCCTTCAAAGGCAGAAATGGTTTCTGAGTCTGATTGGATTTAATGCTTATAAATATTTTTTCTGATAAATGGGAGACATGCAGCACAAGCACAGTCCACAGCTGCTTTGAATATTTGTGTACTTGTGTGTTCTCATGTGCTCGTGAAACGTCATCAGTTCAGGCCTAGCACTGTTCCAATTCACAAGAACACAAGACAGAGAACGGTCATGGTCCCTGGATGTTGTTCTCGCCGCTCCCTCTTTACCCAGCATGCATCAGAGCAGACTTGTCTGTTCTTCAGATTGACAGCTGTCCCAGCATGCACCGCGGCAGCAGCAGCTTCCAGGTTAGCGCTCACAGAGCTCTGAGTATTAAGTTAAAAGTTCTCTTTTCTGTTGCTGTTGTTCTACAAAAGTACATTTTAAGATCATTTGAGACGAGAACATTATAATTTTAAGCATCACTTTATGGCCCATTTACGGATTTTATCCGTACATTTTAAAAAGTTCTGATGCTGAGAAGAAGGTGGTAGCAGGTGGACCTCCGAGACTAACGGCAGCCAGGTCTAACATTAGCTGCAGCAGCCCTCTCTCTGCATAGCCTCGTTTGAAGGACTGCTGGCTCTGATGGAGTTTTTTTATTTTTGCTTTATTTGGCAAAACATTAATTTGATTTGTCTTTTATCTGAATATGTTAATTATTATTCCCTCACTGCATGAAAAAATTAATAATTTATTATTATCTAGAGTATTAATAACTGGAGGTGAAATGCAGCTCCATACAAGTTGAGCTTGTGATGACGTCATCAGTACGCTTCTGGCCCAATTGACCAACATTTATTCTATGTACTCCCATTTTCCCGTGGATGGCAGAACTGCCATGTATGGAAAAAAAAAACAGGGCTGAGAACACGACCCTGTGGTTTGCCGTGCAAATCAGTGTAAATAACTCCTTAGAAACCCAGGGTGTGGAGCTTCTGGGCCAGAATGTCAGGAAGGAAGTCAACAGTTAGCATCTGTCACAGATGATGCTGCAGATGAGTCAGAGCCATGTAAGGTACTAACTAGCCAGTGTCCTCTGTGGAGCGATCCTCAGCAGGGCCTGTCTCCAGCAGGGATCATTAAAGAGATACAGAAGGATCCTCACAATGACTGGGACCAGAGCCATCACTGAGGGAGTAGATGGTTGACTTTTGGGCATAGGCACATTGATGGAGGATTTCAGGCAGGCATTTAACACGGAAGCTGCAGGGAGAGGATGCCCAGAGAAAACCCTGAAATTTGGGCAGAAGATTACCTGAGGGTGAGACTGCAGGTCCATCATGTCTGGACCTGCAGTCGTATAGCGTTGATCTTCCTCCTGATGAACGTCACTTGGTGCAGCTGGAGGAAGAGAGACTGATGCTGCACCTCTGGCTAAAAAATAGCAGAAGTCTATAAGAAAAATGCCTAAATATGAATGAAGTGAACACCATGTCTCTCTAATAATTAATTATCTTTCTGCTGTCTTTTTCAGAATATTCAGATACCATCATGGGTGAGTTGGATGTTTAGTTTTTATTAGAAATGTTCTCATTTGTTTTCATGGAAATATTTGATTTGTTATTGTCTGTCTTTGCTCTGAATACATGACCAGAGGATCAGCATCAAGGACCTGATTGATGGTGGAGACACTAAGGGAAAATGTGTCGGGGGAAAGGTTGTTCAGAAATCTGGTCTGCGTTCGTATAAAACCAATGAAAAGAAGAAGTTCCTCTTCTACCTGGGAGTCGCTGATGAGACCGACTGCATCAAAGCCACGGTGTATGGAAAGGAGAATTTCCAGAAGTTTCAAGAGGGATGCTCCTACAATTTCAGAAACGTCCTAGTCGACAAGTTCGAGGGGAAAAATACCATCAAGGTCACCTGCAACAGCAAAATCTCAAAGACTAAAGAGATTCAGGTTAACAAGACTCTGGAGGCCCAGATGCTGATTTACGGCCAGAGTCCAGTTTACTCCATTGACAAGATCCAGTCCCTTGAGGAAAAGACAGCAGTGAGTGTTGAAGGAACTGTGACCGAGGTGAGAGATGTTCACTTAAACACCTTCAGAACACCAGCTTTATGGCTTTCATTGTTTTTATTACACTTTACGCTAAAAATGTTTCTGGTGTTGCTTTATTCATTTATTGGTTTCATCAGATTATCCCAGTAAAAAAAGTAAAAGTGACGGGGAGACGGGCCAAAGTAAAGATAACCAGGTTCCACCTCAAAGATGAAACCGGTTCCATCTGGATCACGCTGTGGAGCAAAGATTCTGAGCAGCTGAAAGGAAAGTCTGTTGGAGACTTTGTCAGGGTGATCAATACGAAGACACACCGGTACTATGAGATGGTTTCCCTGAACTCCACTGACTTCACCAGAATCATCACGGTACCGTTTATCATCTCGTCTTTTTATACTTAATCAGAGCCAATGAGATCCAGACCTGAATCAAGGTATAAAACATTATCTGTTTATGTGACAGAAATATATAGAAATTACGTTGAAGAAAACTGACATAATTTTCAATATGGTCAATATAGTTTCTGAAGAGAAAATAATCAGAAAGTGTTGCATCCTTTTAAATTCAGCTCAGTCAGACACAGTGAAGACAGGTAGCTGTGAAGATAATAAAAGAAGGGAAAGATGATAGTTTTCAGAAGTTAAACTACAATAAATCTGTTAATTTTCCTGTTAGATGTTTGTTTGTTTTTTTGCTAAGAAAAATCTTTTGTTTTGGGGTATTTATTCCCACCACCTGCTTGACTAGAGGTTAAGTTTGGTAAACAACTTCACAAAAATCATTGGGCCTGATTTAAATAAATGTTGAGGTAGGAGGCTCAAAATATACCTAGGATGCTTTTTACAAAACAAACCCCTGGGATTTAAATAGAATAGAATTCAACTTGATTGTCATTATACTGTCACAAGTAACAAAATCGTTTGCAGTTTAAAAGGGGTTAAGGTCCCTCACAGACAAATTAAAATTCATACTCACTGTCTTCCGCTTATATGGGTAGTTGTCTCAGCAGAGACTTCCAGTCTTTCTTTCCACACGCGCGTCCTCCAGCTTCCGTGGAAAACACCTGAGGTGTTCCCAGCCTAGCTGGGAGACAAGGTCTCTCCAGCTTGTCCTGGGCCTCCTCCCAGTGAGATATCTGATACCTGAAGATATCTCATCCTCCTTAGCTCAATCCACCGAATGTGGAGGAGAACCGGCTCTACTCTGAGCCTCTCTCAGATGACCAAGCTCTTCACCCTACCTCTAAGGGAGGGCATTTAATGTGTGATATGTTTGATCGTCGTACTCAGCTACAGCTCACACTATACGACAAAACTGCAGGGTTTTAAAAAAGAATGCTGTCTTAAAGTCTGTTTTTTTTTTTGTTATCTTATGCAGGCCAGTTAGTTATACGTCAGCCTGAACACCTAACTTCGGCCAATCGTATATCAACAGTCATCTGTCAATCAAATTTTTTTGGTCATTGCATCTTGATTCATGTGTCGCAGCTAATATACGCAAATAAAAAATGTATGATGGAGGAGACTCATCCATGACCTCCGACACTAAACTCTCCTCCTCTTGCATGTTTCCTCTGTCCATAGCGTTCCTTGACAGTGTTGTTTCTAAGTCACCAATTTAGTGCTACTTGGTCCCAATGGAATTTTCCATTGGAAACCTACTAGCACTAAGTTGCTAACTGGTTAGCAAGATGCTTCCGACAAACCGGCCACAACCAAACTGCTTTTGAACCTTCCACCACAACAGTCCCGCCCTCTTGATAGACGACCAGTCACATTCACTTTATTAAATCGTGTAAAGTCGTGTACCACTCGGGAGAATTCAGAAATGCAACGGTTGGAGCAGCCACTTCCCTACGACTTTAAATGTTCACACCTAACGATGCATGTTCTTCACTGTACGGCCTGATGCTCTGATGTGACCTGACTGCTCACACTTGACGTCCAAAAACCACACATCTGAATCCTCACCGAGAGACGGCGCTGGTCGGACTCGTCAATCTGGAAGCCAAACAATAACAGTAGAAGAAGAAGAATTCCCTTGTTTGCACATGCACAGTGTGCGAGGTTCTGGTAAATCAGCTCGTAGCTCTGCTTCAACAGCAGGATTTGCCCACGAACACCTCACAAGGGTTGACTGAATTTCAGACATGTTTGATTTTCTCCCGACCTTACGATTACTGATCGGGACGTGGTTATGAGATGCAAATCGCCCCTCGTTCTGCACTGTATACTACAAAATACAAGACTCACGGTGGATCTAAAACCCCATCCGAAAAAAATCCTGCAAGAACGGAAAAATGGCCCGAAAAAGGCAAAAAACAAGAAAAGGGAATCCCAACCAAAAAAACAGCCCAGCCACCCTGCAGAGGAAGGTGATTTCAGCCGTCAATAATGGTCTTTCCATGAGCAAATTTGAGGGTAGGAATGTAGACCGACTGATAAATCTTTACATTAGCTGACAGCATTACGGTGGACATCACACCAATCTGTTGACAGACAATAATCTCTGCTTTAGCCATTTTTAACTAAAGGAGAGAAAGAAATGATTTGGCAGAACATTAGAAACAACATTTTTACATGTTTTTATGTGAATAAAAATACTAAATATACAGTTTATATTACATTTGGGATGTTCCTTATGACACAGTTACTAACAAACCCAAGCAATCTGTCTGTGTGCTGATCCAAATGTCCTGTTTATCTGTTTCTGTCCAGATCCAAGAAGCTGATGTCCAGAATGTCACCATCCAGGTTGTAGGGATCATAGGATGTAACCAGGAGGAGTCTGAGCTAGACGTGGAGATCAATGAACAGGTGCAGACCTGCACAGTGGCCTCTCCTCTCCTGGCTAAAGTTCTTGGTATCAACCTGAAGGACGACTTTGAGGACAAACTCCTGGAGAAAACACCAATTTCAGCCGAAGCAGAAATCAAAGGAAACAAGATCATTCAACTTAAACTTATTAAAGAAGAGGAGACCAATTTGGAATCTGAATAACTGCTTTTTGCGTTATAAACCTAATCAGAGAGCATTTTTTAAACTCGTGTAGTTTAATTGATTATTATCTTGTGTTGCCTCTTTCTTACTCAAAACATTCAAAGGAGTTCATTATGTTATAATTCTGCCATTTCATTCTATGAGCTTGAAATTCTCAACAATCTCAGCAGCTGAGAGGACATTTTTGGTTATTATGAAATCCAATGTTCTGGAATCATCCTGTTGGAATTAAAATGCGTCTTGACACACTGAAATCTTATTAGAGATTTTTTATTTATTCTGTTCTTGCATGTAATGCTTTAGTTCACTAAGGCCAAAACACTGTCAGTTTAGGGTTCTTTTAGAATGAGCCAACAGAGCCCTGTGTTTGCAGCTTCTATTGAGGTCTGTGGCTTAAACCATATCTGTATTGCTCTAAACTGTACAATACCCAGCTGTTAAGAAGGTTTGGTGGCTGGTCAAACCTGTTAAGAAACTGGTTCAGATCGTTAACCCATTTCAAGTCTCCATCAGCCTGGGTGTTCTGAGTTTGGCCTGAGATTGCCTTCATGCTTTTCCAGATCCCTCTAATGTTGTTCTGCTGCAGTTGAACCTCCATCTTCTTCTTGTAGATGTTCAAACTCTCACCCCGAGCTCTCAACTCGAATAATCTGGCACTGATGGCTGGGGCCAAAACAGTTTAAGTAGAAACTAGAACATGTGGATCTGATGAAAGGTAATAAAAACTCAGCAGAGCTAGGCAGGTAGATGGACTGAACCAATAATCCAGTCTTCAGTGCCAAGATCACGACAGTTTCATGTACTTTTCATAGACAACTATGAGATATATGACACTAAAATGAGACCTGGCAAAGGATGTATTTTCACAACTTTGTTTTTTTCACACTGTTCCTATCTGGAAAAAGAGGTGGATCTTATCGAGAAGAAAATCCTTGCTTAGCAGTGACTGGGTTGAGAGAGGTGTTTAGTCGATTAATCTAATGGATCTTTTCTTTTTTTTTTTACAATGATTTTGTTTAGGATTTTAATGTAAATTATATCAAACAAGAACACTCAATGGTGGTAAAAGTCATTCCAAAAGGCATGGTTATGGTTGTTTTATGACAAAACACCTATTTTCATTTCCTTGTCTATACATGGTATTCATTTTTATCACAATAAAATTATTAACAATGTTATACATGGTCCCCTTACATCCAAGCTTTTCCATTACACTTAAAAAAGGATACATTTATTAAAAGACTACCCAAAATAGATAGTTCTTCTGATAAGGACTGGCTACCTCTGTTATGGTTCTCCCCTTTTGGGACTCTGAGCCTTTAGTTTTCAGTTATTCTGCTTTGTTGATATGTGGTTTATTTTCCGTTATATTCAAACAGTCTTTAGTTTCTCTCTGTTGCCTCCTTGTGCTTTTTTACTTTCTCCTTGGCTTCCTTCTATTAAGTTCCACTCACACCTGCTCTTTATCCAGCTCATTAGTACATCCTTTGTTCTGTTCCCCTTATATACACCACCTCAGCAGCCACTCCCTGATGTTTTCTGTTTTTTGGGTTCTTTGTATTTTTGCATTTTTGGATGTCTGCCTCAGTTGTCCTATTAAATCAACAGGAACTCATCTCTCCTTCACTCATCTCTGCATTGGGGTCCTCAAGCAACTTCACCCCCAGTGCTGACAACCTCACTCTTCTCATAGCACCTCAAGTGGTGGTGGGTATAGATTCATTTTTTAAATCTAGATTAATCTCACTGTAATCTTGGAAGTAATCTAAATTAAAATTGCTCATTTAAATTCTGCCAAAGCCACTCATGATATATTTGTGCAAACTCCAGAATTTAAAAGAAAAGGTTTACTTTTTATGTTTGCAAAATAACACATAGTATTGTCTACTTACTTAAAACTTTGACAAAGTTCTAAATACTTTTTTTCTCTTTTGTTACCATGTCTTTACATACAGTTACAGTTTTATTTTAGCACATTGGATGACATCTTCCTCTTGGAACTTCCCGTATCCTCCATTTTAACTGTGCAAATAATTAGGAGCACACCAGGATACTACCCGGGACGAGAAAGGACTAATAACATAACTTTGAGGTTTGTCTTTTTTTATGGCAGTAAATCATTTATCTAAAATCTAAATTTTTTGCAGAGCACATTCCTTTTCTTTGATGCAACAGTAAGATATTAAAGCATGCTTCAATGCTTCATTGTAGTTTGCCAGGAGGTTTTTGAAAAAAAGCCAAATTAAGAAGATAAAACAAAACAAAAAAACAAAACTGCTGCATCATTTTTTTAAAGCCTGAAAGCTGTGGGTAACTTTTCAATTTGCTGCATTACACTTTGAGGTGGATCCTCCGACCTAACATCGAAATCGAAAGTACATGTAAAAGTAGTTCTGAATATCTTCTAATTAGCGCATGAGAAATTCAAAATAACCACAGGGGTTTGATGAGTTCCAACATTTACTAATTAAACCTCAAGGCGACTGGATTCGGTATTTGAAAATTATTCTCGGTGTTTCCGTAACATGAGTGAAGTTATTAGGTCAGTGAGAGGTTTGATGTCTCATTTTCTAATTTTGTTTGTCACTGTCTACAGATCTATAAAGACTCCACAGAAAGGCTGTGAGAAAAAGACGGTTGTCTTTCTGCTTTTGTTTTTTGACTTCTTTCAGCTAATACTTCAAGTATTTTCTGGGCTGAACCTTTTCCTTGTGTCATATTGAAGACCTATTACATACAAATATTGCAGACGAATGGACCCATAGGGAATTTCCAGTATTTTTCTAACCAAGTTCTTGAGTAGTATGAAATATCCTGGCCAGAGAGAACCTTTTTCTTAATATCTCAGAAGTAAAACTAAAAATGGAAAAGGACATAGGATAAAGTAGCTAAAGCTACAGCTAGTAAAATGACAAGTTACTGTTGTGTGACTACTGTGTCCTGGTTAATATTTAGTAGTCAGACAAAGGATGTTGTTTGTGGTTATCCTAATAGTTATTATCATGTAAGCTACATGATAAACCATAATACAGATAAATTACACAACTTGAGTTTAAATGTTTTGACTCTGTTATAACACCATAGTGCTGTTGTGATGTATCTGATAGGTCTGATCAGATGCAGGATACAGCCAGTAACTGATGCCCAAAAAGTATACTATTAGAAAAGAAAATGTTAACCTTTTTTATGTGGTTTGACTAGTGATGACCATGGGTAGGTCAGTCTCCCATTAATTCCCTTTTACATGTAATGATTTATGAGTGCTTAGTTTCATTCATCAGGCCTCAGAGCTGCAAGGTGTCTAAAGGAGAGGGGTTGTTTATCCTATAAAGGAGTGTTTCAGATTAAAATTATGGTTCTCATAAAAGTCGAGGCTGTTTCTTAGGGATTATTTCATAACATTATGAATTATTTCCAACTATCTGTCTTTGGGTAATGATATGTGGAGATCTTCACAGACTTTCTGCAGGGTTTTAATTAGTGAGACAAACATTGTCTAGATCAGAATAGGGCAGAACATCATACCGAGAGGGCTGTTATGATTGTCTTGCAAAGTCAAATATAGTGTCAACTGAGTAAAATCCATTGATCCCTGTTTATTTAACTGGAGTGTATAGTTGAATACCACTAGAGGCCATAAAGACTTCTTCTGACCACCAATGTAGTTTCTGTTGGGAAAAGTACTGCAGGCAGACATAAGTTAATCAGAGTCAATCTAACTCTAGAGGGCTTTCACATGTACTGTAAGCATTAATTGCCCTAATGCAATACGAATAAATAATATTTAACAATCTGTAGTAAAGAGACACTCTTTTTTTTACTTCCTTCTCCAACTTAATGACACAAAATATGTCTCTAAACTCAGAGAAGCTACTTATCCATAGGTATTCCTGTCTAGTGCAGATAATTATGAACCCTACAGGAATCTGAAAAACAATTCTCATTTGAATATAATCAATAATGGCATTTTTTCCAACTGTCTAAGAACTGAAAAGCCACTTTTTGCCCTTTTTTGTTTTAAAGATTTGATAATAATTCAGGTCAAAAGAAGATTGTAATACTCTGCATTCATCTATATTTAAAAATGCAGACACATAATCATCATTATCGTTAAGATTTTGACCTGTTAACTAATAATAATCTCTTCTAGCAATCAAGTTTGGAAAACGTTTGTGAGGCTCAAAAGTTCATTCTTAAAGCTCTTAGATCAATATTTTGGACCAAACATCCGTGCATTTCTGCTTTCAGACATGTTCTACAGCTCAGACTGGAAATCAACTCTTATTTCCATCATCGAAGAACTTGATGCTTCAGAGTTTGAAAAGATGCTGGATGTTACGGCTCCCCCCCTTTTTACTGGGAAGAGAGGGAAGTAACTTGACAACCACAAAAAAATTAAGAGA